AACTATTATACGTGATGTACGTTTTTTGGGGGATGGTTAATGAAAGTGTTCCAAAACGTGACATTAATTTCTTGACGACCTAATATTTAAATTCTAGAATTGATAGTGGTTACTTATTCATGTGTGAATCAATCCGCTTGAATTTTACAGGTTATTTATTTATGGTTAAACAAAACAAACCAAAGATAAATACATATAAAAAAGTATGAAATATTTTATGCAAAATATTTGTATAAGATTAGGAATGTGTAGGGAAATAACGATCAAAGACATATATAAAGATGTGCCTGGGTATTTGTTACTTTTTGGGGATTTTTATTTTCATTCATATGCTCATGGACTTGGGGATGGGAAGTTTTGGTGTTCTTTTAACCTGATCTTCAAGTTACATCCTGTTTCACCTGTTACATTTTATTTTTTAAATGTTTCCTGATGGAGTGGTTCATTATATACTTTTCTCAAGATGTCTTTAATTTTCGCCATGGGTGAAAACGAACCTAGGCGTTATGTTAAGGTTAAATTTACGTGCTAATATTTTCTATATATGGGATGGTGCAAGTAATTAGGTTTCCTTTTTTTGTGGACTGTCTGAGTTTGTTTGTTTGTTGAACGCCTCTTGTCTATGTTTTTTAATTTATGATAATTTCTGTAACTACTTTAGTAGAGAACTGAGTTAACGTTAGTAAGGCATTGAGTTAAGTGCGTAACGTCTTTATTGATATTTTCTGTGGTGCATAAAGCATATGCTAAATTTATTAGTCTTTTTAGAGCGCCTAGCTGCTGGTGGATTAGATTATTTGAAAACCAGTTTATCTAATTTTCGCTGTATGTGTTTTTTCTGTGAATTTTAGTGGTCAAGCCTTGGGGGGGGGAGGCATGTGATGTAAATGTTTTAAAATATTATTGTGTAGTTTTTTTCATTTTCCAGCTGTAACAGTTCGATTAGGTGTTCCTGTTTCATTTTGATTCTCTTTTTGGGGTCTTGTAAAATGATTTCTCCAGTAAGTTGTATTGTCTCATGACAAGGAGTTTGAGAAATTAGGTTTACGACATCAAAGCTAGAAATAATGACGTTACTGTCTAAACTATGTAAGTGTTGTAGAAGGTGTGAAGTGTTTTTTAATTTGATGCTTATTTTGGAAACATAAGGTTCTAAAATCCAGTTAAAGTATTTACCAAGGTTTTAGTTTAAAGAAATAATTGGGCGTAAGGTTATTGAATTTTGGATTATCTTTTGGTAAATCGTAGATTTTAGTGTTTCAGGTTGGTTTGTATGCAAAAAAATTATATAGTTTGAAGATAATAGTTTTTCTTTTAATAGTATTTTGAATAGTTTTCTCAATTTTTTGTTGTATGTGAGTTAATGTTAATATTTGACTGAGTCAACTTAGAAGTATCATTCAATATATTTACCATTAAGGAATAATACTGTTTGGTTGTTAAAATCACTATCGAGTTTCCTTTATCGGCTTTTTCAATGACATTGTATTCATTGCTCCTAAGAAGTTTTAGGCTTTTTCTTTCTGTTAATGTCAAATTTTGTTTTATAGGCTTCTTTTTGTTTATAATTTTTGAAGTTTTGTCACTAAATTCATCTAGGAAGCTGTTTAATGGACCTGCTTTTGGTTTGGTAGAGAAATTGTTCCTTAAATTGTTCTTGTTCTTGGAATATTGAATACATCTGATGACTCTTCCTTATCCGTAGATGAATTAGATGCGGATTCTTCTTGTGGTCTTTGACTTGGGATTAGTTGCTGTTAATTAGATTTGCAAATTGATTCTATTATTACTTTCCTGCAGAGGTCTTCAAGACTGGTTTTCAAATCTAACACTGGGATGGTGAGAGGAATTACTGCATAGTTTACATCTTTATTTAGGGCTATGGCTTGAGATTTACTGAGTTGAAAGTTCGCGAGGTTGATTATGTTATTCTTAGCAGTGTTTGGTTCTGTTTTTTCTATTGTGCTGACAGGCGAAGCTTTGATATATTGACTATTCAGTTTTACCAAAGTTATACTACTACCAAATGAATCATAATACTGCTATTTAAATAGATCATTATCAGAATGACTATCTTAGAATCGGATTAAAAACCTAATTTTCGCTTATGTGTTTCTTTAATTAAATATCAAATTTTCATACTTTTCTGTAATTTTATATAATTGGTTCTATCATGCAATTAATCATATTTTTACTATTTAGATATTTCTTTACGAAAGTTTTGTTCGTTTGTTTCTTATTAAGCACAGAGCTATGCAATGGACTACCTGTATTGTGCCCACCACGAGTATGAATGCCCGGTTTTTTGTGAAGGTGGCTGTTATTAGTTTCCATTTACTAAAATCAAAGTCCAACTTTGGTATTTTATTACACTTTTTTCCAGTTTAGTAGATATAGGTAGTATTTTAACTTTTTTATATTCATAATCACTTAAGACTAAAATACATACATGGTAAAAGCCGTTTTAACACTATAAGCTAGACGATCCTACAAACTCAGTAATGCAAAAAAAAAAAGCAGTCTAAATCATTTTCAGACGAGGGGGTTGATGAAGATAGTAATTTTTATCTATCGTCTATTTTTGCAACCAAACCGTGATAAGAATGTTTGTCAGTTTGCATACTGCACAATAAATTATTAAAAATTATTTGATCTATATGTTATATCTATATATGCGATTATTTGACTATTCGATGTTGTTTCAGAGGAACTTTTGGTGGAGTAGACATAATATGTTTGATAACTTTGCAGACTGCATCTACTTGTTGAAAGAAAATGGGACAACATTTCGGCTTGTATACTGGGTATTCTTTAGGTAATTATAGGTTTCGTTTCATCTAATCGAGTTAGATATTTAGGTCACAAACTGAAAATTTTCTCTTTGCCAGGCTGGTAGCGAAAAAGGTGTAACTGGAAGACGTAATGCCCATGTCACTGTATCTTTGTTTTTGAAACGATTTCACATTCTGAGACACTTGAAGGCAAATCGAAACAGCCTTCTGTATTTGGCTTTCTTTCACTTGTCCACTGGTTCTTCACGTCAGTGAGTCAACTAAAAGTGTCTTTTCCGCTGTCCAGTTATGGCTCCTAAATAAGTTGGAATACTTCATCAAATTATGAGATTTACAACGAAATGACAACTAATGGAAAAATGTGTGAAACTACTATATATATAGAGCATAGAATCCATTTCAGATCACATGACAGATCATGAGATGCCTGATTTTCATAAGAGTGAACTGAGAGGTAACGAACATTATTTTAAAACATTAAATTTGTACCCGAACAGTTATAATTCAAACTTTATTAGAAATGCTGTTTATCCTTGAATTCTTTTGAGCAATGTATTGCATATTATATGAATTTTCATGTAAACAAATCAACAACATTTATAGTTAGAATAAAAGTGATTGTTGGCATATCAATATAAATTTGAATAGTTTCAAAATGCAACAATTTTCGCCTAATTACTGTGAACGATTATAACGTAAAAAAGTTGTATAATATCTCAGATATTGAACATTTACCCAGAAGTTCATATTGTTAAATCAATGACGCATCGTAATACCTAGTTTATGTATATGTAGTTTTCAAATTATTCACCGATCGTGTTCAATCTGAGGCCATGATTGAGCTTTAATGCCTAACGTAGAAACTTTCATTGTCACAAGCATTTGTGAAGAAGAGCGAGGTCAATGTTAAACCAAATATTTAGGCATATTTTCCATAGACTTTCATTGTACATAGTTCTAAGCTTTCAAAATCGCGTCTTAAGAAGAGCGAAATATCATTGAAACTGCATTGGAGATTTGAGAGATATGTGGTTGTATGATATTGCAATGATTCTAGTTTCCTGGACCATTTTTATCATATGAACAACCATTGATTTAGAAGTGAGTTTCGTAGCTTGTGAATGTTTAGCTTGTCAACCACTGTCAGCTTCAGCTTCTTCTTTACTATCTTGTTAGTGTTACCAAGATATATTATTCCCACCTTCATCTCAATGAATTTTTGAGTCCGAGGGTAATTTTTTCTTTCACAATCATAGTCTTCATTTTGTTAATGAAAACGTTACTTTAGGTTGGCTTAGCGTATCGTTCTGTCATAAGCACTTTGCCATGCTAAATTTGTTTGCGTTCAAGGAGAACACTGAAGACTCCATTCTTTGAAATGTTGCATCTATTAGCCTTACACAGTTTAACAACTTCTCTAGATAAGTATCTTTCCTCAGAAATGGCAGTAACATAATATTCCAGCTCCTGGTTGGATGTTTGCTGTGAAACAAACATGTATACGTATGTTCCACATGCTGCCCGTGCCTCAACGAATCACATCTGCGGTGACAACTGCTGCATTAGTATATGAATCGTTGATATACAGTGTGATTACCTCTTAATATCTTAAACATTTTAAAAGTTAAATAATCTGACAGAACACGATACGGTCTTCCAAAAAGCAAAGAATTACAATATTCATTTACTTATATTTTAAATTTTTCGATACAGTTTTTTTAATAGAGAAGTAACTATGCTTTTTTTTTCACTAAAGGCAATACAAAAATTAAAATATCGGAATACTACTTTAAAGTTTGTGAACTCTCAAATAACTATTTTCAATCAACATAAGGACCCCAGAAGGCTGCACTACATACAAAGAAGAAATATTCGAGCAATTTAAGTATTTCCATCTGTGCTTTACATTAATATCTTGATGAACATAATATTAAATCAAATATAAACTAAGACATAATAAATGAATAATAAAGAAAAACAGATGACAGAACAGGAAACTGACAGATGGAATGTGTTCATTATTTTCTCATTGAAGTATCCGTCCCTAAACTAAAAGCATTTACAACATTAGCAAAACATATTGTAAATAACGATACGTATATTATTATTATCATCAAAAAGACTACTTCATTACATTTCTCATTAATTCTAATGCAAAGGTTATAAATAAAATATGATCAAACTTTTTCAGTTCTTGTTTCCTTCGTTTCTTTTTTATTATTTTTTAGGAAAGATCGTTACTTAATCATTACAGAAATTATAGATTTAATTTAACTGTTAAATGCGTAAGTTAGCATTTACCATTTTCAATACACATACCATAATATTAATTCTCTTATGTCTGTTCGAATAAAAATGTTACTAAGGGTTATGCCCTTGGTAGAGAAAGAGTTATGTTTTTATAGATTATGAGTTTATCTGTTCGTTTAGTTTTTCTTATAATATGCGTAATAAAATCTTAATATAAAAATCATTATCTTTGCTTTGTTGTTGTTTGTTATTAAGCACAAAGCTACACAAAGGGCTATCTATGCTCTGCCTGCCACGGGTATCGAAACCCGATTTCTAGCAGTATAAGTCAGCAGACATACCGCTGTGCTTTTTGCTTTGTTGTAGGATATGAAATACTCATCCACGTAATAAATACAGTATAAAAAGCATTTCTTCTATAATATACTACGAATAACACCTAAACCCTTTCATTTAGATTACCATTAAGTATCTACACTCTTCACCAAACTGGTTTATACGTATAGTGCGGGTCTAATATACGTATAAAACTTCAACTTAACTTCTCTAGCTCACTAATGCATCGTTGGAAAGTTGACAGATAAATTGTAGGAGTCTTTGTTTCTACTTAACCATACCATTGGCATTTCGAAGTCTGGATTTATGATCATTCAAAGATCCCTTCTCTGTTAATCTACTCTTGCTCCTCTTCTGATACATTCTGCGCATTCTCAAAAGAATATTGATGTAATCTGGCCAGTTGTTAGGCAGTAGGACTAATAAGAAGCCCAGTGTAATCAAAAGTATTCCTGCCAGTCTCATTCCCTTAAAGACGACTCCATAAATGTAAATGTCGATGACTAAAAATTCAAAAAAGATCATTATCAAAGTTCTATAATAAAAACTATCATATGATTACTTCGCAAATAACACTATTGCTGCATAATTAATCATAAGTATGTAACATTTATATAAGCAAGAATCGATTTAACTTTCAAAGAAAAAGTAGTGCTCATATTTATATGACAATTTAACTCTGTTAATAATAAAAATGAATGAATCACCTTGCTATAAGTAGCATATGTCTACATTCTTATATATAAAATTTTTAACAATACACAAGATGAAACGACTTTAAAAACAAAGTACATTTTGTTATTCTATAAATTACTGTCAAGTTTATTTTTAAGAGCATTCGATGCGTATTTGACAATAGAAATGGAAAATTGTTAACACATCCCGGTATTAAAGAATTATATATTTATATTTTTATTATAAGACTTTTGACAACAATATTCGTTTCGCGAAATGATGTTAGTCAATTACAAATAATGATTACATTCATATCTATTGAGTGGATAAGGATAAACGTTTGTTTGTTAGTTAAATACCATAAATGTTACAGCTGAGCCACCAGGAGACAGTAAATGGTAAAATAAGTAATTCAGCAGAGAAATTATTGAGTAATGTTTATCAACACGTAAATAATGATGCTTAGTGAATTTCAAAAAAAAAATGTGGTAGAGTTTCATAAAAGTATAAGGTTGCTTGTTTCCTAATTAAACAAGAATTCTCAATCTGGACGAGTAATCTTTTTCTTCTTTATTTTTCAGGTGTCTTTAAATCTGTGGTTAATTGATAAAGGAGATTGTTTTACTAAGAGCATTCCAATAAAGTAATAATGTTTACTTTGTCTTAAAAATGCAGGTATGCAGATGTTTACTTACACATATCCAATTACGCTAACCTTGGGTTTTGATACATAAGTTAAATATCCTTATCCTCTTCTTGCAACTTAATATAGTATAGTGATTTCCAATTTCAGATAGAGCATAAATTGACCTTTTCTGTTCCGCACTTACAAAAATAAAAAAAACATACACATACACAATGAACTGAGTTCTATTATTTTAAAGAAAGGGACATCAATAGTATTGAACAGTATGGGTATAGTAAGAGGAGTAATTTCAGCAGGAAAAGTAACCACATCTACCATTGGCTACCAGTCGCACATTGCAACTTAAACATATTATTATTGTAAGTGACCCAAGAACACTGGGGGTTATTTAAGCCAAATTAAGAACCTCCCAAGGAAAGGTAAACAAAATATTCACACGGATTTCGATCTAAAAAACTGTGTTCACAAGCTTCTACCAGAGCAATAAGTAAACAGAAGACCCTATATCAAAGGTGTAACTGGAACTTTATCATCTTATAAGACGAATCATATGTCTAAAAATGCTCTGGTAATTTATTATTGTCTTTCCAGTGGTACAACATTTCCAAATTGGTACAGAGCAGATCGAAAAAGTTTGTCCCATGAGTTTATGGTGGTTACAGATTACAGTTAAACATCTGGTGAACATCTGCACTCTACATAAATATCAGGCTAACCACTAGGAAACACCACCTTTGTACGAATTAAGTAACAAAAAACATGACTTTATCACTTGTCCTACTTAATGCTCCCTTCCCTTCACAACATGCAAGTACAAACGAAAATTCAATAGCACCATTACTATGCATCACACATAAATTTCTGTACCTCTAGGTTGCTCAGATTGACTCTCGAAATTCGTCGTCAGTTTGGACATTTACAAGAATGTATAGAGGAGGAAACCAAGATTGAACGGTGTACTGGCAAAAGCCTCTTGCAGTAGAAATTGCACTACAGAGCAATAGCTGATAATTGTGGCCATCGAATATATTACCACTGGTGTTGGAAAAAGTATACAAGGCCTAGGCACTCATTCATGTGTTGTTATTATTATAGACCACTAACACCCATTTATACAACTTTACTTCAGGCATAAACGTATCATTAAAGAATGTAAAATTACAAAACGAATTCAGAAACGTGAACTATGATAGTGCAAACTCTTAATTATCTGCATATATAATAGCCCAATGTCTATCTGTATCTCCTGTTTCTCTGAAGAGTACATCATAAGAAAATTACATTTTTTTTTTTGCAATTCCTAAAATTTCATATTCATATAAATATCGATCCGTCAGCCTTCATATGGTCAATCTTAGTAAAAAACATATTAAGAACAGAAATATTTCTTTTTGTGGGGGGATTTCACGATAAAAACGTCAACTCATTGAAAGAAACGTTTCGAAGACAGGAGCATGGACGGAAAAAATGCATAAAGAGAGGATAGTGTTTGAGTATATATTTATTGTTGTTCGGTTTGTATATATTTTAATTCTTTTGATGTCGGTATCATACACATGCATGCTTTTATCGTGTCATATCGAATAAATTGATTTGAATTGAATATCTCCCCTTTGACTCTTCTTATAGAAATTACAATTGTCAAAAGTGCTCAATTAAATAGCAGTCTTTTCTTGTGCCCAGTAAAATAACAAGGAACGGTGGCATTTAATTCCCAAAAATCCTCTCGGTTACTTAGCGGACCTGGGCGCTCTATTGTGCTTGCCCCCCCCCCCCAGTGGTACAGCGGCAAATTTGCGGACTTACGTCGCTAGAAAACGGGTTTCGGTACCCGTGGTGGACAGAGCACAGATAGCCCATCGTGTATCTTTGTGCTTAACTTCAAACAAACAAACTATTGTGCTGGATGCATCCATTGCATCGAAACTCAAACATTTTTTACAAACAATACATTGTAGTATGTCTCCTTTGCTTAAAAGCAAACTTGATGCAATTTTCTTATTGAAATAGTACATGAAATGACAAAAAAAACTGTTGTAAACGGCCCATTAGACAATCATATCACATATACAAGCAGATCCAGTGGATTAAGTTGACTGCACCATTTTTATTTATTCATCACTATTTTTCGAAAAATTACCGTTAAATTGTTTCAACGGGCATTTGCTAGCACTACAATAATATAACATTACTAAGATATCTGCCAATAAGTACACGTCATCTTTGTTTTCATACTATCACGAAAGTATTTCACCCTCTATTGGACGCATTATGAGGTAAGACATTCAACTACAGAATTCAAGCATTTATATGTGTATTAAGGATGCAATAAAGATTGATTCGTGTCCTGTACGTTACAATGTGCAATAGAAGGTTAAACAAACTGGTAAGTGTATTTGTATGGATATAATATTTCATGTGATAATTCATGGGTTTTCTGAACTTATTTAATACATTTATTTCATATAGGAATTTTCTTACTCATTGCTATTTTGTTATAAGAAAAATATAGATAATGACTTACCTATTAACCCCATATACATGATACCTGTACTGTAGCATTAGGATAGCTAGATAATCCAGTTCTTAATAACAGAGAATGTAAAAATATGTCTCAACATTTTCTTAAATGAGAGTAGGTGCGTTTATATTAGATTTTAAAATACATCAATAGTTATCGAGGAAATTAAAGAAACTTTGTTTTTGTTTGTAGTTAATCACAAAGCTGCACAATGGACTATCTGTTCTCTGCCCTCCACGGGTATCGAAATCCGGTTTTTAGTGTTGTAAGTCCGCAGACATACCTCTGTGCCACTCGGGGACGAGAAATTTTGAAAGATCATGATTCCGAAAGGGGGATTCATGGCTGTAGGATGTTAAATAAAATTGGAGAGTTGTATCTTTATTCAAACGAGAATATTTTGGTCTTATATTGTTGCAGTTGACTCTTTATTTCTTATAAAGTGTGCATTACCACCATGAACGAAACATTTTACTCTTTCCTCTGCCTATAAAATTATGCAGAAAGATTGTAATTAGCTAACTGTCTGTTATATAAATCATAGACTATAAATATCTTTGACTTCAAAGAGCTTATCCTAGGCTCCCCGAAATAAGTTACACGGTTTGCTATGAAAGATAGTAGTAGCGATAACAAAAATTAACAACGCAACTTTATTGCCTTACTTAAGTTTTACTTTATAAATCCCTAAACATGAGTTATTTTAATTTTTATTTACAGCTCTTTTAAAAAGCGAGTAATTTTTACTTTAGAATATTTAATAGATTTTTCATCATTCGTTAGCGAATAAAAGTTAACCTGAAGTCGATACATTTAGTTATTTTTAACGTTCTTCAAATTATGATTTTCGAACTCGCTTTATAGATGTTGGGCAGAGTAAAGCGACACTATGTCTACTTTTTAAAGTTGTATTTGGTTTACATTATACCTCAATGCATCAGCAGTAGGTTTTAGAACTTGTACCACTAAAATATGGGAATCGATTCCACACGGTGGACTGTGTGCAGATAGCATTCAATGTAGCTTTACAAAAACAAACAAGTATATTTTATTTGCTAAAATCAATTATTAAGACTGTATACAATTGTTATTTTGCCTCTAGTCTGCTTACTTTTTCATTTTCAATATACTTCAAAGCATTTAATTCAGTTTTCTGGGAAAATGCTTCCATTACTATAAGGTTAAAAATACATTGAAAAAAACAATATATTATACGTGTTGCTTGATTTTTTTTGAAGAATTAAGCTATTTAAGTTGGGAGATTATCTCTCATAAACTAAAGTATTGATTTTATAATCTTTCTGAAACACGGCTAAATAATTAAAAGAAAACTACCAATGTAGAAATTAATATATTTTCTTAAATTTACAATTGTTTTATAAACAATATAGCAGAAATATAAATTTCGTATTCATCTTGTTTGTGGAAAAAAATAGAGATGAAAAATAATAATATTAGAAAGGAAATATTAGTTCAGGAAAAAAATTTAACAAAAATGTTCGGACCTTGGAGTTATCCCCAACATCAGCTAACTATTGCAAGAATGATTACTGCACAAAGATCAGTTTGTTTATGTTTCTACTTGTTTCGAATACTTATGCAAAGCTACACAAAAGTTATCTGTGTTAGTCGTTGCTATATTGGAACTAATAGACTAGATTAAAGACAAATCATAAACAGCGCCAAGTGCCAACTTATGGACAACTCTAATCGAATAATGGTAGTTGACCATTACTCTTATAACGCATCCACTGGCCTCAACATGCAGGCGAGCTAATCACAAGCTCCGCTTGATCCACATAAGCATCAACGTCAAAATTTGTTAATAGCGGGAAACGCCGATCATATACTGCATAACACAGTTCAATGACAGCATCATGTTTCTGGAATAGGTAGCTCTAGTAATACAAGGATAGAAATAATATCACAAAAAAAGTATATGGACGTAAATTTTAAGCGTAGATATTCTTCATTTTAATACATCAAACACAAAGTCAGGCACAAGTCATGTACATTAGATATATACAGTTTAAGTTAGTATCGATAACAACGATTAGATTTACGTTAATATTACATCATTAACTGATAACTTCATGTAGATAAACTTGTAGCTGAATAAAATCAAATCCACAAATTTATATACTACTACTCTATAATGTAAATGTATTTAGAAAAAATAAACAAAGATGTGTTTGTGTGTGTATATATATATATAACGTTTAAATGAAAAAATAAATTAAAAATACAAGTACACATACAAAAAGCACTTTGTCGTGTTATGTCTCACCTGCTGATGCTGGTACTGCAAGAACAATGCCAAGTGTAAGAAATACTTCATATGTCCAAACAATTCCAAAACTTCCTATCAAGTTGGCTACTGCAAAATATATTACATTGTTAGGAGATAAAAAGAGAATTAAAGAATAATAAGTATTTAATGTGAAAATAAATATTTTATGTCGTAAGCGTGTGGATAGTTTATATTTCTCTTCGTTCCTATCAGAAAAAAAAATTGACGATATTACTTCTTTACAGATTTTTGTTAAAAAGATCAAAAATTTTCTCTTAATTTTCACTTATCAGAGTTTTAAGAGTAGACTTGCAAATATATGTGGTTAAAAAATTCATTACCCAGAAATAAGGCTGCAGTTCCACCTAGTGGAATCCACGGTAACATATTCCAATGAAGAGTCTCGATATGCATTACGTGGAGGGTGATGAAAAAGGGCCACATAATTAAAAAGTTCATAAGGCCCATTAGAGTAAAGAATATAGAAAGCTGTCCAGGTGTGACGTCCCCAATCAACTTTTTGAAAAACACCTGAGGAAAAAAAACATAGAGTAAAGGTATCTAATTCTTTGGAAATGTATTTAAATCTTTTCTTTTTACCTTAAAAACAAAACATGCATCAAAATAAATGATACATACTATACAAGATTGTAGACTATTATTACATTTTGAACTAAAGGGGAGTAATGATAGGTGCTTACGGACAACATTTGTAAGTAAAGTTACAGGTTATCCTGCAGCAGGATAATTCAGTGTTATTCTGCTTTATGACGAACTAATCCTTTCAAATAAAATTTCAGAAATAAAATAGCCATAGATATTTTAGTGGAGTAATTGTAGAAGCCAGTTCGCGAGAAAAAGCACCCATTTGATTTTTTTTCCAACCAAGAATAAGTATACTGTATTTACCTGCTTCCTAAGTGTTATCAACTTTTCGATTGGATATTTGTTGTGCTGTTGCCAAGTTACGGCACTGTTACTTTTGATTGTACAAGCACAAGAAATAAAACTGTTTTGATCATCGTTATCTTTTGTCTATACATTCGTGTACTTTGGTCAAATCTATATTTGGGATTTAATAATATACAAGAAAATACTAGCAATATAGAAACGTTAGAGCCATTAATGTGCAACTGCATGCTACTAGTTTTCAAATGTTACATCAACTAGAGATTGATTTGAACAGCATGAATGACATTTTGAACTCTGAAAATACAGGTAATTTTTTAGTCCTCTGGACTAAAAGAGGGTATTCAGTATGTGCAAAAAATATTAGCCATATAAAAATAAAATCAAAGCGTTTCCTGATCGTGATAAGACTGGTAAGTTACCCAAACTTTCAACTGAGCAGATGTTCATATAACTTGAGACAGGACATATGATAAAAAATTTGTGGTCCAACTGTTTTCTAAGTAAAAGAAGCAGGATAGCATGGTACTGGAAAGCGAAGATGTTAGAAACGGTGTAAGGAGGGATAGAAAAGTTTCTGCCAGTGATGAAACTGAGATCAATAATATGGCAACAAACTGAAATGTTTGCACTGATAGAACCATACTGCCAAATGAAGCTTGCACTAGTAATAACACTGCCTTTCTGTCAAAAGTGTTACACGTCGAGGTGTGGTCAAGGTATACAATGACTGCTTCATTGAACGTTTGGAAAACGTTGACATTTCAGATGCAATCAATGTTTGAGAGCACACCCAACCAACTAACACTGATAAACCGTTCCAAGCAAACCAGTAAATTCAATCAAATGTCTCATTGCTTCACAGTGAACAAAAGATGACTAGTAAACTTCCTACTGTGGAAGTCTAATGCACATTTTTATCAGCATAGTTTCTCCATTATAAAATCCAAGTAATTATTAAAGCCTCTCTCCGCATATATTTTGTTACTAACTACTCTTTTTATGCTAACATTAGCATAAATATGCATGTTATGAACTCAAAACAAGATATAATGCCTTATTACACTCAAATATAATCTTTTACATTTACTTCCCCTCTCTCGCGCCTTCTAGTCATAGATATTCCTTTGTAAAAATGATGACCACATTTGCTGAGGCTCATGTATGAAGAGTGATATCCCCATGACCAAAAGTCGAATCAAAAATTGTATTAATGCACTCTCCATATCTCATACCGATATATAATTGACATGAATGTAATAAATTGAATAACTTTTGATAAGTCGGTCCAAATATATAAAAAAGTGCCTTTTCCCGAGATTTGGCTGTTAATAAGTTGTCAACTTCAAAATATCGAAATCGTCATGAAAATTGACCTCGGCAGCTCAGTGTTAAGTTTGGTGTTTATAACGTTAAAGTAGGGATTTCGGTATTCGCAGAGGGCACAGCGCAGCTAGCCCACTATGTAGCTTTGTTCTTAAGAACAAACAACGGCTATGTAAAATTGCGCTTTCTCTGTTTTTGTATGTGTGTTACATTTCGAATAAATAACGAGTAGGCTGGTCACAGTTGATCTATTGTCTTATTGATGACAAAACAGTGATAATATGATAGGGGAAACTATAAAGCAAGAGGAGACTATCTAAAGATAAAATTGGATAAATCCATGCAAAAGAATCAATAAAGTTGACAAGTAGACATTGTCACCCGAAGTTAGTAATATTTTTAATTCTCTATTACCTTATTTTATAAGGAGTATCTACCTTCTCACATATAGCTGCGAATAGGAAATGATAGTTTCGATGTAGAGAGTTTTGAGCTTGAGTATCTATCTCTGTTTTTACACTTAAAAAAAAGTTGTGTTAAAATTCTACTTTTAATTTTCTTTCACGTGTGAGGTTTACTGATAACTCAAATCTGATAGACCATGTATCTACACAATCGTGAGGGTCCTACTTCATAAGTACTTCTACTGCTATGGTACATTTTACCTTTACTAATAGTCTTAGATGTACTACGTGCTAGCGGAGACTACAAACTCAGACTTACAGTTCTTGAAAAATATTATTGTTTGTCAAACTTCGAGCAAAGCTACTCAAGAGCTGTCTGCGTTAGCTGTCCCTAGCTTTGAAGTGATAGGCTAGAGTAAAAGTATCTAATCAACACCACCCGTCGCCATCTCTTACTCTACTCTTTAAATACGACTAGAGCGATTGATTGTCACATTATAACGCCTCTGAATAGGCGAATATATTTGTTGATGAGATTCGAACATCAGTGAAAAATAGTTCTGTTTAAAACATTTTTATTACTGTTCTCTCCCTTATTAAATATATCGTGAAATTTACTGCTTCGAGCAACCTGAATCTACAATCTAATTTAAAGTTTTCTATCACATCTAGACTCCCAGATACCAAACATTTAGTTTTGACTATGCAGAAAAACATTTGGTGGGGCTATCATGTAACCCATGTACGTAGTGTGGAAGCGAGTTCAGTAAATATAACAAATTAAAACTAGATCGTCTTTTACTGAACATCCTGTATATTCATACAGGATATTTTATTGTTTGATAAAGGCGTATAATATTTTGTTACAAGTTATTTATTGGTTATAATCAGAGCTGTGCGTAGCGCCGCTATGTTTCTAGGAGCGGCTAGTGGATCGTCGCTCCATGTTTGGTCTATGCAAAGCGCTACTCGCTACATTTTTAATATAATATATAAATTATAATCATTTGTATGTTGTATATAATTATATTTTGCATATTCATATACTTTGTATACACATAATTATTATTATATATATATAATACTATAGATACTGTTTCGGACTTAATTAGGCTCGTCTGTGCTACCTGACATGTTCAGCTGATTTGATTTGCAGTGATGGCTTGCCAGCTACCTGTGATGTTATATTACCTAATATATATAAATCTTTCTTTGTATTTGTTAATAATATTTTTATATTTAATATTTACTGTTTGGACGTTCAGTTTAATTTCATATTAATTTAGAAGGTTTATTAATTTATTTTTATGTAAAAATTAGTTTGAAATACTGTTAAATGTTTTATTAAATTCCTGAGCTGGACAATTCTATTAAAATTATTCTTGGTAATACGTTTCAATTTATAATACAAGATATTTGTATATAGTTTATAATTCATGTCTGGTAATTAGTTAAGAAAATCCCAGAAATAAATCGTGATTTATAATATACAAGCTGAGGTACCCGTCCTTTGTCTGGGTTATGAGCTTAAAGAATATGGGGTAGATGCTATGATAAATAACACAAAAATCCTAACTGTCACACAATTTATTTATAACATAACACATTATTCCAGTATTCATTATTACCTCGCCAAACGTTTCGTAGAAGGTTTAAGAACTCAGTATGTATATACTTAAAATATGGTATACACTCTGCGATGGTCAGGATGACTTTGTATTACGTGGTAACAACCAAAGTAGCAGAGGTTATCCACTTTCAACACCCACCTCTTAATGTCCTTCCACATTGTTTCACGTGATTAATTAATTGACGGTCATTGGCTGCAGAAGTGTCTTACGGGTCAAAGTAGGAAGTGGGTATAACTCAAGAAAGGCTCTTCATATCAGAAAGTTAGCTGAATTTAACTATTGTTGCATTAGTTGCATTGTGTGCCCTCACCCCATACTTCGTGTATGTTATAGAAAATATCATAATTTTCTGTAAAATAACATGGCGCCATCTGTGAATGTAGTTTGGTTTGTTTGAAGTTAAGCACAAAGCTATACAATGGGCTAGCTGTGCTCTGCCCACCACGGGTATCGAAACCCAGTTTCTAGCGTTGTAAGTCCGCAGACATACTGCTGTGCTACTGGAGAGCTTGTGAATGTAGTTAACGTTAACTTACATCAAACATAATAAATGTTCAATAAGAGCAATAATATGGGGTGGAAGGGGATGTTACCCATTATCATGCACCTGGTTCCAACCTATCATCCCACAAAGTTTGGTTGAGATTGGTCAAGCGACCTAGGAGTAGTTAGATAAAGGACAAACAAAGTAACACAATAGATATTATAATATAATATTATATGTTGTTTTAATTATATATTATTATTCATAAAATAATAAATAATATATATATATATTATT